AAAAGGGGAGGATGGGATAGGGCAGGGGGGATTGGGGGGTAATTAGGTTCGGTCTGAGGAAGGAGACGAACAGGTCTAATTCCTCAGACCAAGAGCCTCTTCACCATGCAAAGGAGCCCCCCTTGAAGAGGTATTCTACTAATAGTCTCCTTAATGTGTAGATCTATCTGTTTGTACATGTATCTTACCAGTGCTAGCAGTAGCTGTTGTTTGGGTGTTTCATAAGGGTGCCTATAAACCCCCTACAATTTATGCAGAGAGCAATGGACAAGTAAAGTAGTAGCAGCAGCAATATACACACAGTTAGTTAGTTTAATATGTTTATTATGCACCCCATACCCATCCTGTGGGCGGTAGTCAAAAGATTACAGAGGTACATAATGGGTCCAGGGACTGGGCCTCAAAGTTTTGATAGATGAGCAAGTTACAGAGGTAATGAACTCACAATTTACAAAGGTAATATACACACAGCAAGAGGCATCCTTGAGTTCCCCTGCACTCAGGCTTTAGTCCAAAACTGGGGTGTAGTTCCAAAGGGATCCTGTAATGCTTGCTGCCTTTGCACCTCCTGAAATCATCTGCTGCTATGCAACTGCTTCATCCTTTGAGCCAGGTGTGGGTGTGGTTTTAGGCAGCCCAAGATGTCTAGTTTCTCCCTCTGAGCCCTGTGGGAGCAGGGAATGCAGCTAGGCCTGTGGACAGTTGGTCCCAGACAATGAGAAGGTACTTGTGCCTCCTCCCATGGTAGACATTGGTCTGAGACACTCCCACAACAGGGAGCCAAGGCCGGGCCACCTCTTGGAAAAAAGCTGGGCCTGGCGATTATGCCAGCAAATCTACTACCTACAATCAGCTTATGAATCCAGTCAGAGGATCACTTATTTTCCACTGAATCCAATTGGGTGTTAAGATCACCAAGAAACTCTGTCAGCTTTTAAATCTGGTCATTGGATGACCTATTTTTTGAGCGAATCTGGTCAGTGGATCACTTATTTTTGAATGAATCTGGTCTGTATTATGGAGTAGGTCATGAAAAGACTACTAAAATATTATTCAACAGATTAATATGTGTTCAGTTTGATACAAAAAGTATAGCTTGCATGTTGGAGAAACTGGTGACTTCTAATACCTCCTACTGATGATGAACGGCCTAAGATGGCCCTTCCTATATCACTGTATTTAATTTTCCTCACTTTGTTCCTATCTATACCACACTAATTTTTATGGTATCACTTATTAGCTAAGGTATGGCGACTGGGGGTAGAATGTTTACTGGAGTTTGTTTTCTGTTAACTATACTGCAGTTTCTACCAACTCTACAATATTGCAGTTTCGTAACTCTACTCTTCTTATTTCCACAAGTTTCGCCGGCAACCTTGTAATATCTTATTATTAAAATCCTAAATTTTTATATTTCCATAAATTTGTACTCTATGGTAAGTCCAGGAGTACAGAGCAGGCAAAGTCTAGTGCAGTTGTTGAAGAGCAAACTGAGAGATCGATGCAAGAGACTGAGTATGAGGGTCAAAATGGGTGGGAGCTCCTGTATTTTAACATGGAGAGGGAAAGAAGAGAGAAGAGCCTCTGAGTGCCACAAGAGTCACAGTGAGACCCCTGAGGAAGTGGTCAGCATTAAAATTGATGAGTAACAGAAGTGGAGGCTGTAATGAAGATCCCAGAAATGCGACATCTTGGATATATAATGCCCGAGGAGAGATACAAACAACAGACTGTATCTCACCTATTTAAGTAGATGTGTGCTGCAGTGTAATGCAGAGGTGGTGGTATACTGGTGCAATGTGAAATGATCTTTCATTGAAGGTTCCAATGGGAAAAGGATCCAATGAATATAATAAAACATAGCCCATGATAGGATGGATAACAGCAGAGAATAATTTTGGTTCTTGTAAACGAGCACAAAGGATAAACTGGGAAAGCAACACCTGAAGATCACCCTGGTTACCTATGAGGCCTCGGATATTCCACTGTAAATAAGCTATGATTTGCGAAGAGAAAGATACATACAAGAAATGTGGAGTAATATGTATCTACAAACTAGAAAGGTTAGAAAATTCTACATGTGGAGGCAGCAGAAAATGAATGAGCAGTGAAGGGTTGGAAAACTGAAGACAGAGAAGAGGTGGATCAGTGCCATGGAAGTCTTCCTTGGAGGTGGAGGGTTGAGACCAACATTGTGTAAGTGAAACCCTTTTTCTCTTTGAGACACCAGATTTCTCATTCTTTTTAGTGAACATGGTAATGGAATGAATAAGCTGTGTGAGCATCATTACAGTTATGGCAGGAGGGAGGCAGGTGGCAAGATGTATTTTTATGGTCGGCAGCACCACAGACTGGGCATTCTACCATGAACCTACAATATTTAGCAGAGTGGCAGAAGCACCAGCAATTTTTACACTATTGTGGAGAAGGAATTGATTCTCAGACTTGTAAACAGTGTCCTACAATATGAACTAAGGACGGAAATTCTCAACAGTCAAGCATTAAGCAAGGTACATTGCAGGGGAGGCATCTGCACTTGTAAGCAGGTAGTACATCAGTGTCTACTTTGAAAATTGGAGCTGAAGTTGCTCCAGAATAGAAGCATGAAATGCCTGGAAATCATGTTGAACAATGGTACGAGGCAGAACTACAGTACAATTGCAGTAATTTACCTGGAGAGAGTTCCGGGGGTCAACGCCCCCGCGGCCCAGGTCTGTGACCAGGCCTCCTGGTGAATCAGAGCCTGATCAACCAGGCTGTTGCTGCTGGCTGCACGCAAACCAACGTACGAGCCACAGCCCGGCTGATCCGGAACTGACTTTAGGTGCTTGTCCAGTGCCAGCATGAAGACTGCCAGGGGTCTGTTGGTAATCCCCCTTATGTGTGCTGGGAGGCAGTTGAACAGTCTCGGGCCCCTGACACTTATTGTATGGTCTCTTAACGTGCTAGTGACACCCCTGCTTTTCATTGGGGGGATGGTGCATCGTCTGCCAAGTCTTTTGCTTTCGTAGTGAGTGATTTTCGTGTGCAAGTTCGGTACTAGTCCCTCTAGGATTTTCCAGGTGTATATAATCATGTATCTCTCCCTCCTGCGTTCCAGGGAATACAGGTTTAGGAACCTCAAGCGCTCCCAATAATTGAGGTGTTTTATCTCCGTTATGCGCGCCGTGAAAGTTCTCTGTACATTTTCTAGGTCGGCAATTTCACCTGCCTTGAAAGGTGCTGTTAGTGTGCAGCAATATTCCAGCCTAGATAGAACAAGTGACCTGAAGAGTGTCATCATGGGCTTGGCCTCCCTAGTTTTGAAGGTTCTCATTATCCATCCTGTCATTTTTCTAGCAGATGCGATTGATACAATGTTATGGTCCTTGAAGGTGAGAGAAACATGTTTTTGAATCGTGACAAGAATCGTCTATGGAGGTATGAAGAGAAGGATTGTGACCCCTGGCCAGCATTTTGCATTGTGACAGTGAGTGCACCTCTCAAGAGTATGAAATGAAATATTTTGACCAACATGCTGCAGGAGCACCCTGATGATACTGTGATTTGAAAGGTAGTCAGAGAAGCAAGAAGCATAGTCAAAGATGTGCAGAGGTCATATGTATCGAAGGAATTTGAAACATGGTGCATAAGAAGAGTGAGGGTAGTGCAAGTCTTTTCTTGGAAGATTGAGAGGTAGTCTAAGCAGTGTCATTTGTTAATGGTCATGGTCCTTTATGTGTGGAACTGAAGGTGGTCTGACCAGAGATGTGAGATGTGTGGGCTATTTGAAAATCCTTGCACCGTAGAGAAGCCAGAAGCATGGTAAAAGATATGCAGAGGCCGTATGAGTCAAAGAAGTTTGATATGTGGTATGTAAGAAGAGTGAGGGTAGTGCTAGTCTTTTCTGGGTGGAATGAGAGGTAGTTGAAGCAGTGTCATTTTATGTGTGGGACTGAAGGTGATACGACCAGAGTGTGTGAGCTATTTGAAAAACCTTGCACCGTAGAGAAGCCAGAAGCATGGTAAAAGATGTGTGGAGGTTGCATGTATCAAAGGAGTTAGGAGTAACCCCAATACCAGGGGCAGACAATGAAGTGTTACCCACAGAAGGTACTGGGATGTTAGAAAGGTCTGAAGAATGGTCAGATAACAAGGCAAGGTGGGAAGAGGGTGGGTCAGCAGAGGAGGATCTGGGAGGAGAAATATCATGGACTTGGGACTCCATGATTAGGTCACTGTCTCTTGTATTTTTCCAAAATAAGGAAAAAGATAAAAAAAATTCTTAAAAAATGAGGGAACATGGAGGAGTAGCTTAGAGGTGGAATGAAAGGTTCGCAAATCTTCCCTACACCCAATAGGATCTCAGTGCGGCCATTAGTGCAACCACTTCACTGCACTTAGTTGCTCCCCCTTGAAGAGGTCAAACTCAAGAAAGCCTAAACACAGCCAGTAGTGTAGATGCAGCATGCCATTAAATGGACAATCCAGGATAGCAACCTCACGTCCACCAAGCCACCTCAGCGAACAAAAGAATGCATAGCACCTTCAGCCACCACTCCCTACAATCTGACATCCAGCTTCTAGAGCAACACCCATCACCCAAGACACTGCACTCTGACTCCTGGGATACCAGAGAGGAGATTGAAACATCGTATGAAAATCCAGATTCCATTGCAAACTACACCTCAACAGATTGGGATGGACAATGATACCCTTCCCCCAACTTAAAAGCCAGAATGCCTGAGGGGAACCCCAAAGGCCAAAAGCAGGGAAGGGGAGATTAGGGAATAATTAGGATTAGTCAAAGGAAGAAGACAGAAAGGAACAATTCCTCACACCAAAAGATTGTTTACCATGACAAAGAACCCCCTTAAAGAATTCAGCACCTCCCCAGATAACCAAATTCCTACCACAAATGGGAAGGTTGCTCTGCACCATCTACATGTGTTTCACTTGTTTTCATTTATTATAAAAAAAAAACAAGCTATAAACCTGGTAGGGTCACACACATTTTGTTTTCATATTATTTATTAATACCTTAAATTTTTGCATTTTTCTTTACCTGAGTTTGACTATATTTATATTATTTTTATTCCACCATGGTAGTAATTTTCATTCAAGGAGTTGTGTTTCCATGAGAAATTAGATTTAACCTAACTGGATTTTTAAGATCTTTTGCTATAATTCTCATATGATTAATTTGGAAACCACAAAAAAGTATAGGATGAATGAAAGTCAAGTGAATTGGTTGAAAATTTTGTTAAAACTGAAATAATAGGATAAATATCCTCATCTGTAAATGTTATTAAGATTCTACATAGATCAGTAAATGCTAATAATTAAATCTATCAAAAATATTTGGAAAAAGAATAAGTGACAATAAGAAAATGCTTGAAAAAATCCTATATAAACAATTGATAAAAATGAACATAAATGTCTGCAAAAACACTATTTACAATATTCTTAGTATAATATTTACATTTGTTCTTCCCAATTATTACATTTTATATTTCCTTTAAGGAAAAGGAGATGTAAATTAGAAAGAGAAAGGTGCTCCCTATGCAGGTAAAGGCAAAGAATAACAGAGTGGCTGAAAGAGGCCAACATATCTGTAATACGTATAGAGACACTGGTCAGAGAAATAGCAAACATCGAATTTAAGCTAAAGGAATCTTACAGGAGTTTAGTTATGTTGGAAGATCTGCTAGAAAAATGACAGGATGGATAATGAGAACCTTCAAAACTAGGGAGGCTAAGCCCATGATGACACTCTTCAGGTCACTTGTTCTATCTAGGCTGGAATATTGCTGCACACTAACAGCACCTTTCAAGGCAGGTGAAATTGCTGACCTAGAAAATGTACAGAGAACCTTCACGGCACACATAATGGAGATAAAACACCTCAATTACTGGGAGCGCTTGAGGTTCCTGAACCTGTATTCCCTGGAATGCAGGCGGGAGAGATACATGATTATATACACCTGGAAAATCCTAGAGGGACTAGTACCGAACTTGCACATGAAAATCACTGACAACAAAAGCAAAAGACTTGGCAGACGATGCAACATCCCCCCAATGAAAAGCAGGGGTGTCACTAGCACATTAAGAGACCATACATTAAGTGTCAGGGGCCCGAGACTGCTCAACTGCCTCCCAGCATACATAAGGGGGATTACCAACAGACCCCTGGCAGTCTTCAAGCTGGCACTGGACAAGCACCTAAAGTCGGTTCCTGACCAGCCGGGCTGTGGCTCGTACGTTGGTTTGCGTACAGCCAGCAGTAACAGCCTGGTTGATCAGGCTCTGATCCACCAGGAGGCCTGGTCGCAGACCGGGCCGCGGGGGCATTGACCCCCGGAACTTTCTCCAGATCCAGATCCAGATCGAAGAACTAAAAGCCATAAATGAAATTGAAAGAAACCCAAAATATTTCTTTTGTTATGCCAAATCAATGATGAGAACAACATCCAGTACTGAGCACCTACTTAAACAAGATGGGTCCTACACAGATGACAGCAAGGAAATGAGTGAGCTACTTAAATCCCAGTATGACCCAGTATAACTTGAGAGTTGAAGACCTAAATGAATTTATCATGTAACAGAATTTCATAAACTTGAACCTATTTGATATTATCCTGATGCCAAATGACTTCTCTCAACACTGTTATGGTATATCCATTTTATATATTCTTGTAAGTTTATAACTAAAATATTCCTGAAACATTAACATTAACATTTTATCTCCTGAATGAACTTGTGAATATCTCACAAGATAACCTTTTACACTAAAACATCTGAGACACTCACAACATTGAAATGGTTTATCTCCTGTACTCACCTAGTTGTGGCTGCAGGGGTCGAGTCCTGTATGTACTCTTATATGTATCACAAGTTTACTTTTTTCAATAAAACATTTCAGACACTATGAACACTGATATGGTTTATCTCTGGTATGTACTCTCAGATGTGCCACAAGACTGTTTTTTTGACTAAAACGTTTCAGGCACTCTGAACATTCATATGGTTTCTCTCCTGTATGTACTCTCATGTGTCTCACAAGACTGCTTTTTACACTAAAACATTTTGGACACTCTGAACATTCATATGGTTTCTCTCCTGTATGTACTCTCATGTGTGTCACAAGATGCCTTTTTTCAGTGAAACTTTTCAAACACTCTGAACACTGATAAGGTTTATCTCCTGTATGTACTTTCATATATGTCACAAGTTTGCTTTGTCCAATAAAACACTGATATGGTTTATCACCTGTATGTACTACTCTCATATGTTTCACAAGACTGCTTTTCTGACTAAAACATTTCAGACACTCTGAACAGTCATATGGTTTCTCTCCTGTATGTACACTTATGTGTTTCACAAGAGAGTTTTTTTCAGTAAAACTTTTCAGACACTCTGAACATTGATATGGTTTCTCTCCTGTATGTAGTCTCATATGTCTCACAAGACTGCTTTTTTTATTATAATGTTTCAGACACTCTGAACATTCATATGGTTTCTCTCCTGTATGTACTCTCATATGTATCACAAGACTGCTTTTTTTACTAAAACATTTCAGACACTCAGCACATTGATATGACTTCTCTTTTGTATGTACTCTCAAATGTTTCACAAAACTGCTTTTTACACTAAAACATTTCAGACACTCTGAACATTCATATGGTTTCTCTCCTGCATGTATTACTCTCATATGTCTCACAAGACTGCTTTTTTTATTAAAATGTTTTAGACACTCTGAACATTCATATGGTTTCTCTCTTGTATGTACTCTCATATGTTTCACAAGATGGCTTTTTGCAGTAAAACTTTTCAGACACTCTGAACATTGATATGGTTTCTCTCCTGTATGTACTCTCACATGTTTCACAAGACTGCTTTTATGACTAAAATGTTTTGGACACTCTGAACACTGATATGGTTTATCTCCTGTATGTACTCTTACATGTGTCGCAAGACTGCTTTTTTGACTAAAACATTTCAGACACTCAGCACACTGATATGGTTTATCTCCTGTATGTACTCTCATATGTGTCAAAAGATTGCTTTTTTGACTAAAACATTTCAGACACTCAGCACACTGATATGTTTTATGTTTTTTATGTACTCTCATATGTTTCACAAGATGGCTTTTTGCAGTAAAACTTTTCAGACACTCTGAACATTGATATGATTTCTCTCCTGTATGTACTCTCACATGTTTCACAAGACTGCTTTTATGACTAAAACGTTTTGGACACTCTGAACACTGATATGGTTTATCTCCTGTATGTACTCTTACATGTGTCGCAAGACTGCTTTTATGACTAAAACATTTCAGACACTCAGCACACTGATATGGTTTATTCTCCTGTATGTACTCTCATATGTGTCAAAAGATTGCTTTTTTGACTAAAACATTTCAGACACTCAGCACACTGATATGTTTTATGTTTTTTATGTTTTTCCATATTTTTTAAATATAGGTATTTCATTTAAATATTTTAGTCATACAACAGTGGTAGAGCTAATTTTCTTTATGTACTCACATGTCTATTTCATGATTTTTTTTATTATTTTTGAACAAAACACAGGGTTTTCCTTATAAAAAAAAATTCCATGTTAAGTTTTTATTTGGGAAAAAACTTTTTCTCCTTAATTGCTAAAAAAATTTTTGTGTGAAAAAACACTTCATAATTTTTTTTTTGTTTTAAAAGAGTAATAAATGTATAGAACACTTAATATACTCAACAACTTTTTTATTATTTTTTGCCTTATTTTTTAAACAAATTTTTTCTGAAAATTCCAAATTTATTTAAAATTACAAATTTTTTTTATTTTCATTAACCCTTTGAGGGTTCAGACCCCAATTAAAAATTTCCCCCAAAATCCAAGAATCAAAAAAAAAAATTTTTTTCCATAAAGGGAAGGAATCTTTTCTGAAGGTAATAAAACAAAAAGTATTAAATTTTGATCAAGAATTCGTGAAGTAATGCTCCCCCACACTTTTTTTTTTAAGAATATTTACCATTAGGGAATTTTTTCCAAATTTGATCTTTTTTTTGGGCCCTTCATTAATCCATTGACAAAATTCCTTCTATTTTTTCTAGTAGTGTTCATTTTATTATTAAGCACAAGAAATTGCCAAAACAATATTTAACTACCCAATAAGGGGATTGGGGAAATTTGGAATTTGGCCTTTCACACAAAATTCAAAATATCAAATTTCAAAAAAGGTCCAGAAAAAACAATGTATATTTATTAGTTTAATTTCAAAGGGATTACAGATGAATTTTCATTTGGATTTTTTTTCAAGATAATTTTTATTGAAAAAAAAAAAATTAGTTATTCATTATTGTAAAATTGTTAAATAACATCAATGCATTCAGGAATGCCATTTAACCCCCCATTACATGTATTGGGCCATGTGCTGTCTGGCAAAACAAACTTTAGTCTTCAACAAAATACTTCGCAATATCAGTTTTTGTCAAAACACTTACACTGGTCTTCTTTATGACTGAAGTATTTGTTGGGAAGACACAACCTGGTAGTCTTCCCCAAAATACTTTGCAAAAAAAAAACTAGTCAGTAAGTATAATATTTCCCAATTACCAACACAATATACTGAATAAAATTTAAATTTTTTATCATTTCAATTTTCCCAAATAAAAATTTTCCCCTTTTAAAAGTTTATCTTAAAGTTTTTTTAAAAAAAAACACAAAATTTTTTGGTATGGTAGATCACAGGCATCGTGGGGGTGGTAAAGGGGTGATAGGGAGGGGTGGGCCACAGCCACGCATGTGCACATCCCAGGTTTGGGGCCCACGCAGCTGACTCATCAGATCCCGGATAAAGCGGGCTCATCCCCCCCTACACCACAACCAAATTACAAAAAACCCCGCAGCTTTGGGGTTGTGTTCCCCAGCAAGCATCTGGGTTTTTGGGACAATCCCAATTTTTTTCTGTGAAGGGGTTCTCAGCCCTGTAACAACTTCAACAGTATTTTCCCAAAGGGTGGTCCCCCAGGAAAAAAGGAATAAAAAAGAAATAATAACAACAAAAAATAAACACTTTATTTTAAAGAAAAATAAAATATAAAACACTTAAATATGAAAAAATTAAACCCCACATTTAAAAAAAATGAAAAAGAAAAATATAAATGATAATTGAAACAACGCTAATAATTAGGGGGGTTTGTGTTGGTGCATGTTGTTGAAATCGTAGCGTTGCGATGTGGGGGGGGGGGGCGCAGGTTTTGGTGACCACCACGGGTGTTTTTCGCAGAATCCCCTATAGTATCCCGATGACAGGAAAGCGGTTCTTTTACTCGGGGCAATGAGTGGGTTACCCTGCAAATTTATAAGGTCTCCTGTTCTTCTTTTGATTGACGGGTACCCTCTCTTCACCCAAGCTGAAAGATGCAGGTTACCCACTGCCTAAATAATCACTCTCCATGGAAAGTAAAATACCTAAAGAGTGGTGATTTTTTTAAAACGTCAACCCTAGAGCAAGACTGAAAGGGCTAATTTTTTTATTGGGCAAAAGGAACTTTAACCAAAAAATCCACTAGAATAAAGGCAGGATGTATTTGGGAGGGGGGGTTGATTTTGGGGAAAACCGACCCCCCGGGGGGGGGGGGGGGGGGGGGGGAGGAGGGGGGGGGGGGAGGGGAAATAACAAGGGTAAAATTTAAACCCGGGGGGGGAAACATTTTTTCAAAAAAAGCGGGGGAAAAAAACTTTTACCCCATTAACTTACTAAAAAAGTTTTTAAAGTATAAATAAATTTTCCCCCAATATTCCAAGCTTATTCAAGGAATTAAAAAATTTCGAGGAAAAATTTGTTGGGGAATTGGGAACAAAAAATCTTTACTGGGTGCAATTCCTCAAAAATATTTGGGTCCTTAAATTTTAAAAAATTTTGGCTTAAAAGGGGGGGGGGGGGGGGGGGGGGGGGGGGGGGGGGGGGGGGGGGGGGGGTTTTGGGGGGGGGGGGGGGGGGGGGGGGGGGGGGGGGGGGGGGGTTTTTGGGGGGGGGGGGGGGGGGGGGGGGGGGGGGGGGGGGTTTGGGGGGGGGGGGGGGGGGGGGGGGGGGGGGGGGGGGGAATTTTTTTTCCCAGCAAAAAAAATTTTAAAATTTTGGGGGTTTACCCCACAAAAGGGGGTTTTAAACTTTCCTTTTTATTGTGGAGTATCTTGTTTCTGTCGGGAATTTGTTACGGGGGGGGGAGAAAACCCTTTCCCACAGGCAGTTCCAAAAACTGTTGGGCTTTGTTATTTTTGCATCATTTCCTTGGTGTGTATTTTAAAGCGGTTTTTACTGCTTAGAAAAAAGGGGATCAAACCCTTACCTGTTTTGATATCCCTGCGCATTTTTAATTCTAAAAAGAAGGGAAGAGTCAAAAAAATTTTTTGAAAGGTCGTATTTTTTAAGGGGGATGGGGTTTCAGCACCCCACAAAGTTATAGCTTTAAAGGGCCTCTGAAGTCAATAGCAAGTCTTTTGGGAATTTTTCCCCCTTTTTAAAACCAGGACTACTGGTGAGCAATTTTGCAGATTTTTAAAGGGTTTTAAATTTTGATTTTTTTATTTTTAAAATAATTTGTCTCCTCTCGGTCAAATGCATCCCAAAGGTAAAACGGGAAAATTTGGGTTTTAATTTTTCCATTTGTAGGATTGTGTCAAAAAATAAATTTTCTTGGGGAAATTTTACCATGGGGGTTTAACACCGGGGAATTTTTCATTTAAAGAGTATGAAAGTTACACACACATTAAAAGTTTCATGTTTTTTTGGGGCCATAAAAAGGGATTCTTTAAATTTTAATGTTGGTTGGGCCCGAGTGGCCAGGGGGACCCCAAAAATTTGCGTTCTTCTTTTCATAGTCTAAGTTGAGGTTTTAAATTTAGGGCACATTTTAAACCATTTTTTCAGTTGTTTTTTTAAAGTTTTTTGGAAAAACTAAGTCAAATTTTAAAAAAGGGCAGTTAACCGAATTTTTCGGAAAATATTTTTAAGGATGTTGATTGAAAAAGCTTATTTTTTTCCCCTTGTTTTCTTTTGAGGTAGTAAAACTTTCCCAAAAAAAATTTTTTAATATTTAAATTTTGGACCTTTCCTTTTGTACTAAAAAATTTTATTTGACTTGATGGGGAAAAGTACCAGAACTTCTTCTCCTATTTTAAAAAAATTTTCTCCTCGGGGTTTTTTTGGGAAATAAAAATTGGGTTTTTGTATGGTCCATTGAAAAAGTTTGGGTTTTTTCAAAATTATGTCAAAAGGTCTCCTAAAATTTTGGATTAAGGTAAGGGGAAATTTTGGTTTAAGAAGACTGAACCTCGGGCCTTTACCCCCTCATTATTTTCCAATAATTTTCATAAAGGGAGGGAAACAGTGGACCTCTGGCCGTTTTTTACCATAGAAAATTTAAAAAAGGGAAAAAACCCCAAAAAAGGTCACGGGGGAACTTCCCTCAGGGGAAAAACAAAGACAGGGTAGGAAAAACAATGCCATCCTTGGGTTTTTAAGGGGCAAATTTTTCCTTAAATTTAAAAACCTTGAGAATCAAATTTTGCTGGCGTTTCAACCCTTCCCATTACGTGGGTGAAAGGGTGGGGTTTGAAGAGGGGGTTTTTACCCCCGGGAATTTTTGGAAATGTTGTTCCCTTTAAGTCAGATTTTGAACTGTTTTTTCCCCGGGTTTCAGAAAAAATTTTTTCTTTGGGGGTTTGCCCACTCTGGAAAAAGAGGGAAAAAAGGGGTTCAGCCACCCCCGGGTAGTTTTTAGGGTTTTTTTAAGGGGAACGGTTCAGGGAATCGAAGAAAAAATCAACAAATTTTTTTAATTATATTTTTTGCCCCCCAGATGAAAGTGGGGGATAGAGGAAAAAGGGGATGTCAATAGTACTTTTTCAAAACGGAAACCAAAAAGTTTAGGTTTTTTTTGGGGGCCCCCATAGGAAATCGGGGTTTACCTCGGGAGGATGACATTTGGGAAAATTTTACACGATTTTACAATAGGTAGTGACATCGGGAGGACTTTTTTACCCAAAAAAAGGTTTCCTAATTTTTTTTAAAGGTTTTACGATGCGGGGGAAATGCCCGGCCACTGGCAGGTAAGGGACCATTTTAAAGGGGACAGTTTTTTTCTGCTTGACTTGGAAAAACTAAGAGGGAAATTTAAGTCTATCTTTTTGGGGAATTTTTAAATTTTGAAACTGATTTGTACAAGATATTTTTTTATTTATTAAAATTTTTTATTTAAAAATTTTTTTTTCCTTTTGGGGATCACTTGATTTTTTTTTAAAGGGGGCATTATGGCAATTCTGAAGAAAAAGGGGAAATTTTTATTTGAAAATTTGGA